AAAAAACACCTTCTTGTTTTATTTTGGTAAATATTTTAGAACAAAAAAAATCTTTCAGCAAGAAAAATCATTTCTGAGAATACACTAGTAGATGCTGATTATTTGGTTGTTCAGTTTTGAGACTTTTTCAGCTTGTCTCAATTGAATACCACTTCAAATTAACTGTATGGCATGAGTGGATAACTTATTGTAAATTTAGCTGTTTTCTGCTTGACCCTTGGTCTGTGTGTTTTTTTTTTAAAATGTAAGCTAACATCCTGAACTTTAGAGGAGATTAGTCCTCTATACTAATACAGATGTAGTAGTATATAACTTGTATGATATTACGTCATGTGCAGACTTTTCTTGTGATTTGGATTCTCTGTGTGTGTTTCCTTGTTTTATTTGCCTTTTTTTTTAATTGGGAAAATTTTATCTTTCTTAACTAACCCTCCCATTTGCAAACTAGATGAGATTTGTACTGTTAGGATCTGAATGTAAAAGAAGTATGTGCGAGGGTATTCCACAAAAAATGTCATTAGCAGTAATTATTGTCGCTCTGTGGTTAATTTTTCCCACATTAAGTTTAAACTTAAGAATTTTTAAATTTTATATCAAATGTGCTTGAAGTACCTACCTGTTCAAAGTTCTCTGTGTTGGTTCTTGTTTGTTTCTCTAGGTGTGGTTTCTATGCATACAGAGTGCAGATTATGCAACATAAAAACATGAAGCAGCAAAGACGCGTTCTCATAAGTGATTCAATTAAAATTTTTAGTACTGTTGGGGCCTTTTTGGTATGTTTTTTTGTGAGACAACAAGCAATACATGGCAGTGAATACGCATAGTTTATGCTTTAACTTGAAATCCTCCTGCCCGTGCCATGTAATCCTTTTCCTGGTGTATTTTCTTGCTGCTTCTTCAACCTCCTTTCTTGCACATAGAAGTGCACATTCTTGAACTCTTTCAAAGATTATACAAAAGAAGTTTATACATGTATAATGCCTTTTTCTTGGATTAACAAGTAAAACACAAAATAAATTCTAAAGATTCAACTTGAAAACCTGGAAAAAGAAGTCTTTGAAATTCCTGAAACTTTGTTCTTGTGCCAAATTGTGGGTATTTATGGGGTTAATGCACATTTACATTAATTCATTTGTTCGCAAATAGAAAAGACAGCCTGGAGGAAATTGTTGTTATTAAACAGTTGGCCATGAAACCGAGCTGTATGAAATGAGGTATTTCTGAGTCTGTGCCTCTAGTGGGATGAGGAGGTGATATCTGCTTTCTTAGCAGGGTTGGGAAAAATAAACTTGAAGTGGAGGAATCTACATTAGTGAGATTAGATGGCCTGGGTTTTAGAGCTAAGTGCACTGGATGCTCATGAGCAGACCATTCCCACTCTATCTTAAAGCTGTGTTTTTTTTTTTCTTCTATTCTGTTATGAGTTATCATCTTATATGCTGGCCAGATGTCTCGCTGAGCAGGAGGCTATGACAATGGAGCTGCTTATCTGGGGAGCCATTAGCTGAAAACCTTACTTGCTGAAAAAAGCTGCTTTTCCTGCAACAGTTGTCTGATTTCTTGTTGTAGTCAGTGGTAGGGGTAAACATTATGTTCTGTGGAAAAGAACATAAGAGGGGGAAAAATGAAGAGGGGAAAAAAAAAAGTCTAACTTTTCCATATAATTTAACTAAGAAGCCTATGATAAAAGAGTATTCCTAAATGACCACTAGAAAAAAAGGCATGGCAAGCATGAAAAAAGTTACGATAAGAAATAGTATGGCTGGAAATAAAAGCATTTAATGTTTGCTGGAACATGACTGGAACTAGAATAGGCATAGGGCATTTATACATGCGCAGAATCAGCATATTGGATTTACTTATGTTTCTCTTAAACAAGGTGAGAGAGTGGAGGAGAGTCATGGTCAGCATAGTCTGTAACTACAGTCATGATTAGCTTAGCCTTAGAAGGCTCAGCTGCTTCTACTGCTTAGAAACTTGGAAGCAAAGTTTGAACGTTGTTTGTGACGCGATTACAGCAAGCAAACAAAATGGAAAGCTTTTTAATGTTCCCGTTATTATGTTTTTTCTTAATTGTTATATGAAATGTCTTGATAAAAATGACTTAATTTTAGAGCTTGTTTGTTTTTTGTAGTATCTTCTATGTTATTATAATTGTTGTTATAATTGCACATTATTAGATCTTGTAAATCCTCCTTCCTGTTCCTAAAAACAGAATTTCAACCTTCATTTGAAATTCATATGTTATCACTAAATCTTGTGGCCATTTAAAATGAAGTTTCTCTAGTGAGTGCAAATAAACTTAAAAGCTGGAGCGTGAGCTTTGAGGAACTTGGTTTTCTTAATAGCATGTTTTAATGTCTTATGGGTAGTAATAATTTAACATTTATAATTCAATATTAATGGCAATTGCTCCTTGAATACTAAGGCAAATCTGAGTATGATAAAGGTTAATAATTGGATTGGGAAACTCTAAACAATAATGGTACCTTCTTCTATGCTGATTATTAAAATAAAAGGTGCTTTGCCAAGTCAGTGTTTGGGACCTTTTCTTAACAGTATTCTCTATTGACTGCTGTATATAGGATATTGAAAACTTACCCTAAGTTGGAAGATTTTTGAATTCAGGAAAAAAAAACCATACATTTGCTGTCTGCGTTCTTGTTAATGTAAATATCTTTGTTCATTAGATAGCAAAGGCAGAGAGTGATTAGCTTGCTTGCTTCAGGTACTGGGGTTGAAAACAATTCCTTCACTGTTTGCTCAAGTGCGTTGCCTTTTGGAGCGCAGTAGCGAGCCCCTTGTGTGTGTGCCTTTGTCCGCAGAGTGGAGAACGCCTGCACCAAGCTTGTTCGGGCAGCCCAGATGCTGCAAGCGGATCCTTATTCCGTCCCAGCTCGTGACTATCTCATTGACGGATCGAGAGGCATCCTCTCGGGAACGTCAGACTTGCTCCTGACGTTCGACGAGGCTGAGGTAGGTGTCGCACCATGGGTCACGGCAGTCCCGCGCTAACTGCTGTGCCACCTGACCGGACTAGCTAATGCGAACTATGTGGTGGAGCTGCATGTGGTTTTTGTCTGTTAGCTTTCTTGTTTTTTTTTTTTTTAATCTGTTAGAAGAAACTTCTTGTATTTTAAGAGTACCTTTGTAGGATACAATGGTTGGTTTTGTGTTTCTGGTCACTCTTTGAAAGGGCCGGATTCCATTAATACTGTCTTACATTCTCCTGCCATTTTTCTGCCTTCCCTTCACTGTACCCATGACTGAGCCTTACGTTTTCCATATCCCTTTGCTGAGAAGCCCAAGGCTACTTCCTAGCCTTTTTGGCTATATGCTGGCTTGGCCTCATGAGCTGTGGCAATGTGATTGGCCTGGTAAACGGGTAATGCAGATTTATATGATGAACTATTATTTATACCGCTCATCAGCTAGAGGATGCGTTTTGATAAAGGTAACAGTTGTTGCATTTGGGCTGCTGCAGAAGCCAGAGAAGTGGCTCAGAGGTGCTGCAAGCAGCACCTCAAATGAAACAAGCAAAACACACAAGCAAACAAAATCTTGTGATCCTCTTATTGGGAGTATGAGATCTTTCAGGTCTTCTGCTTTTCTTAATAGCAAATATGCCTTTAAGAGAGAATGAAGCTAGCAGAAGGTATCAGAGCTGCTGATAATTCTGACTTTTACCTGTGCAACAGCCTTTTAATCTCTGAAATTATTATATAACTCTTCCTGCTGTTCTGCGTAGTCTAACACGTGTTATGGTGCTGTTAATTTGTTCCTCTGAAACGAGGATAATTCTATGAGGCTTTTCGCTAGCACTACTGAGTTATATATTATTTTAAATGTTTTTAAGCAATAACTGCCAAGTGTTAAAAGATGTGCTAGGAAGTGAGCTTGATGGCATTTAATCTCCTTGCTTTCAGTGTTTAGAAAAGGCATTGACTTTTATGGAACTAATGCTTCCTTGAACTGCTTTCTGACAACTGCATGTTAAAAGAAAAATTTTGCTCAGGAATGATTGGATTTTCACAAATAGCAACCTGACATGGCTCTATATGCTCTTACTGTGCTTCAAGATAAGCTAACATTGGGACCAAACTGAGTGATTACTACAGGAAATTATGAGTTAGGAAGCTGAGTTAGGAAGACTGAGCACTGCATATGACTAATTAAAAAATTATTCTTCAATGAGAATTGTAGTTGTGCTGTTAGAAACTTAGTTCAGGAAGCAAGAAGATCAGGTTAACCAGTTAACCAACAGAACTCTCTTGTGGCTTTCAGCATGAACTAAAAAGTAAGTAATTAACAGCTAAGGCAGAAATTCAGAGGTGAATAAAGTACATAACTTCATAGATAGATTTTCCTGAAAAGCCTAAACCTTTCCCACTGGAATGTTGGATAATTTATATATATATATTTTTTCCATACATAAAGCTGAATGGTGGTGAAAAAATTCTTTGAAAGTTTTGACTTTGATTTCCCTGTATTTTGCTTTGTGACTTAACTTGCATGTTTTTATTAATGAAATGCAATGAAAAATTTGGAATCAGGCATGCCAGCATACTTAAATGCACTTCTTTATTTCTTTTTCACCTGCTATCCTTCAGTTACCATGCAAGGTGAAAACAGTGAAAGGAAGCTTTTGCATTTGTGATGAGTAGTGGAGTGCAGATTAAATTTAGTCTTTATTAATACAGCATTCTTAAGTAATTGAGTTTTGGGTCGCCTAATCAACACTGCCAACCTGTTATGATTGCCCAAACATCATGTGAGCAAATGCTGTACATAAGGTGTTCTAATGATAGACTTGCATTTCTAATTCAAGTATCATTTAGCTTCATCTAATAAATGATGGAATATTCCTTTTTTAGGTCCGTAAAATCATCCGTGTCTGCAAAGGAATTTTGGAATATCTGACTGTGGCGGAAGTAGTAGAAACTATGGAGGATTTGGTGACATACACAAAGAATCTAGGGCCAGGTTTGACTTGCTGCAGTATATCATAAACATATTAAGTGTAGTCTCTTTCCCCTCATTCTTTTTGCCCCTTTTTTTTTTTTTTATTCTATCCTATTCCAGCCAAGTTTAAAGTGTTTAGACAATGCTAAAGCAGTTTCTTTTAAAATTTTTGGAAGTGTTTTAAGCTACTATTTTCTGATGCACATTCTCCTAAGAATGCAGAGGAGTCAAGATATATGCTGTGTGGACGATATGTACTGTACTCTTTCTGCGCTACATTGTGTGGGAAATAAGCGTGCACTTGCATGAAGAAAATATAATTTGAAAGAGATATAATTAAGCACTCATGGCTAGAGTCGGTTAAGACTATAGCATCTCTGTACTGAGATGGTTAGGCCTACCAGCAGTTTCTTGGAGTAGTGCAAGCTAAACGCTCTACACTGACATCTTGCTGAAGTTGCAGAACTAGTGCTCATGCAGTATAATGCAAAAGCTCATCTGTTATCCTAGTTGTTTTTCTTCGTTATTTGGTGATCCTTCATTACATGTTACTTCACCATGCTACATCACACTGTCTTTCACTGGTGGAAATAAACGATAAGTAAAGCAGTCGACTGGTATAGAGGAAACCTACTATTAATCTCCCAGTCATCTTCTGTGTCCAGTGTTTTAGCTTCAGCAAGCATTAAAATAGATTAAGTATTATTTAGCAAAAGCATTTGTACAATTTAGGTTTTGTGGTGGAACTGTAGGAGGATATTGGAGTTGAACTACAGTTGAGCTTAAGTATGTTAAAACTGGAGCAGGAATTCAATTAATGTTTTACTATTTGACAGCAGCTTCTTATATATACATACATGTGTGTATATATAAGTATGTATAAGTATGTATCTTTATAAGAATATGTATATAAGAATAACTAGCTTATAAAGGAATTTGGAGACTTAGAGACTAGAAGCTGTCTTTTGTCACTGAGCATGTTTATCCTTCTTGATGTACTTTTAAATTACATCATTTAACATATTCAGATTATATGGTTTAACCTATGCATGCAGTTTAAGTTCCATATGAAGGTAGAGTGTTTTAATTTCTTTTTTATCCCATGAGAAACTACTTTCAGCATCTTGCTTCATTTTGGAAAGGAAACAATGAAGCAAAAAAGGCAATCATCTCTTTCCATGAAATTTGTTGTTTTACTTTGTATATGCAATTTTAGTTTCTCTTTAGTCATAATCCTCTGTCTTTAAAATAGAAGTTTTCCCGAGCTTCTAATTACTCTATTTGATTCAGACAAAGCAGTTGGGGCTTGTCATTGCACCTCTCTGACATAATTTGTTGTTCCACGTTTGTGATGGAGGCAATAAGTGTTTGACAAGTATCTAACATCTCAGTCAGAAATGAGGTTTAGATTTGTACCTGTGTCCCAGGTGAGCTTTTCTAAACTCATACTGTTCTGGATACATAGCTAGTGCTGGTGCTTTTGGCATGCTCTAAAAGCATTGTCTTTGCCTGAATTAAATGCCGCTTAACACTTGGAGCCCTGGTCTGCAGAACTTTACCATTTTATGCCATTAATCCTTCTTCCCTTCAGCTATATCAGTGGACATTTGATCCTACTGTCAGCTTAAGTGCTGGATGAAGATACAGGAATATGAGTGTGTGTACTTAAAAAAAAAAATAACTGTTGCGTGTTTTAAGTTGGAATAAGAGAGGAATATGAATACCTTTTGGGGATTTGACTGCTCCGAAGTGAGCATGCTTTTGCACAACATGCCAATCTATGCTAGCAGTGTGGTAGTCCTCCTATTTTTCATTATTGACATGAAGGCTTAGTTAACCTTTTCCTAGGTTGCCTTAAGCTTCTAAACTAGCGGAAAGTTAACTTGTCAATAGTATACTGTTTTCTGGCAGTTTTGAGCCCTCTAGAAGGGATGAAGCGGGGGGGAAACTATGGAGCACCAACTTAAATCAGCTTAAATTTTGACTGAAGTGTGTCCAAAATTTCCATCTGTTATGTGGTAAACCTCGGCAATCTTAGTTCCTGAAGACACATATATTCTAGAATACATCTAATTCTTCACTCACTATTTTAGACCATAGAAATACTGCCAGTAGAACTTTATTTAAAGAAGCAAAATAGATTCAGTTTTTGATTTGTAGAATCAAGAAAAAAACTTCAAAGGAGGGAAAAAAATAGTTTCCTTTTCCTGTCACTCACACTTAGGGCTTTGATCAAATCTTAAAAGAAAAAAAGCAAAAACCTTGTAAATTAGCTTCCAGTGTTTGTGAGGTGACTTAATGTCCTGAGGGGTTTATAAGAACACTTTTCTCTATTCCTATTTTTTCTCTGGGATTTTAAATCAATTTTAAATCTCTTTTCTATAATTTGAGGCTTTTATTCTACCTTGCCTTGTATCTGGAATGCAGTTTAAATTATAGATGCTAACATAAAAGTTCTAAACTTAAATGTATTTGTCATAAGTCCTTGAACGTTGTTCTTGTTTAGAAAGTTCAACTTAATATTTTATTTCTTAATGTGTGATTGCTTAATTACTTCAATCCTT